GAGGACTTCTCGTTTGGTTTCTCTAGGGTTCTCCATTACTGTGACGAAGACATTTTTTCTTGCCCATTCCAAAAGGTACTTTTGATGACGCTTATCTGTTTGGAAGTGATTCTTCAACATTTATATCATCTCTTCGTAGGTAAACTTTCGAGGGAAAATGATTGATTCATTTGGAGTCAGATTACTGTAATAAAATTCACTGGCTTTTCCCAAAACATGACTTCAAAGACTTTTTGCTTTTGAGCAGGATGGATACCCATAATGTAACACATCTCATCAAAGATTCCGAGTTTTAAGTCAAGGGGATCATATTTATCTTCAGTGTATCTTTTACTATCATCGTAAATTTTCTTCTATCCAAAATCACTCTTGCTCAGCCTCCTAAATTATTGGAAGCAAGATATGATTCATTACTCTTATCAAAAGTTTGACGGTTATTATTTCCTGTAGCAGGTTTTTTTGATCATATTTATCGACGCCTTTCCCCTTGAAATTAAGGTTCTCTTGCTTTACAACCGGAAAGGAAGGATTCACAGTTTGAAGGTACGAATCAAAATCTTTTGACTCTCTCATTTGTTTTTCGAGCTCGCCTTCGAGTCATTCTGGTATAACATCCGCTATGAAAAGATTTGCTAAGTATACTGAAATATGACTCCTGCTCTTTGGGGTTAAAATACCACGATCGTTGAGAAAATCTCGAAACTTCCGTCTTATTCTATAGTCTGCAAGTGCAAAATTTTCTTTCGTCCATCGAAGTCATCTTGAAAGTTTTCCAAGAGTCTATTATCTGTCAGTCTTTCCACTTGGTAGAAAAGCTTTTGAAACACTATAACACCACTAATCCGTTCTTAGGTTTCATCATTTACATCTTCGAGATTAAGTCGTCAATGAAATGAAGATTCATCCACTCTGCCTTTATACTGGTCTGGAAGGAGCATCAATCGATGTTAATTTATTTCGATGGCGAAATATTGTTTTCGCAAAATAAGAAGTTGGTGGTCTTAATATTTATGACCTATATTTTCTTTTTGAAATTAGGTAGATCGGAGACTGTAACTTAAGTGTCTCTTGTAAAGGTTTTTATTCTGCGTGATAAACACAGCTTGTAGAGGTCAGTTGTCGGCGACTTACAGCAGAAAGTGATTCTCGCAAGCTCTTGGATGCTTTGATTTGATCCCTGGAAAATAAGATTCAACCTACGGTGGCAATCCAAACCGACTTCCTCTAGCAGGAAAGTAGTGATATGCGGCACAATGAACGGTAAGGATTTCACGCCTCTTGTCTCTTGTGAAATAGCCTAGCTGCTCTTTGGCTAACTGTGAGGTTAGCCCTGATCAATATTGGTATCACAGGTAACGATTGGATCAAATCAAAGGGGGTCTAATGTCGGTGTACGTCAATGATGTCCATTCTTTATCATTGAGTAGATGGCGATTCTGTATCTATATGATTACATAATTAACATTAGAATTACACGTGATTACGCCAGTTCTACAGACATACTCCAAACAGAAGCAGTGACTCGTAGAATCCTAAAACCCTCTACATCTAATAGATACACCTTAGATGCATACCCTGAAATTAAGCGCGGATCGAATTACGCTCACGTAACACCTGAACACATTGATTTCTTCAAAGCAATATTAGGCAAGGATGGAGCAGCTATCGATGACGTGACAATAGATGCCGAGAATGACCTTGACCCTTCAATTTAGACTGGATGCGCAAATATAGAGGTCGTATGAAGCTTGTGCTCAAACCATGCTCGACAGATGAGGTGTCTTTTTTTTGGATCAGATTTTAATTGCGTATTTAGCAATCTAGCTATAACACCATATCGGATAAAAAGAACAGACAAGATAATTCAATATATAAGTAGAGCACTCATGCCTCGGATTTCATTTGCAAGCACCACTGCGAAGCTATGGTGGCTTTTTCCTCACCCCAAGTCAAAGATGAGGTATCGAAGATACTGAAATACTGTAACGATAAGATGTTGGCGGTGGTGCCGCAGGGCGGCAACTCGGGCCTAGTCGGTGGCTCAGTCCCTATTTTTGACAAAATTGTCATCAATATGAGTCGTATGAACGTCATTCGCGATTTTTACGAGGTCTTGGGTGCTCTCGTGGTCGATGCAGGCTGTATTCTCGAAGTAGCTGACGCTTATCTTAAGGAGAGAAGCTATATTTTCCCTCTAGACCTCGGCACAAAGGGCTCATGCCAAATTGGGGGAAACGTTGCGACAAATGCCGGAGGTCTTCGGCTCATAAGATACGGTAGTCTTCATGGAAGTGTTCTAGGAATCGAAGCAGTATTACCTGACGGAACAATCATGAATGACTTATCGAAATTGCGAAAAAATAATACCGGGTATGATCTAAAACAACTGTTTATCGGCGCAGAAGGCACGATAGGCATAATAACAGGGATCTCGGTTCAATGTGTCCAACGATCAAGCGCCAAAAATGTGGCATTTTTCGGTCTCGAGTCTTATGAGAAGGTGCAAGAAGCATTTGTTCTTGCCAAGAAACAACTTTCTGAAATTCTCTCTGCATTTGAGCTCATGGATGGGCATTCGCAAAAGATAGTGAGCCAAGTGACTCAAAATAAACGACCCTTAGATGACAAGTATCCATTCTATTGCTTCATCGAAACTAGTGGATTTAATCCAGAACATGATCAAGAGAAGCTCGAAAACTTTTTGGAGAGTGTTTTGGATAAAGAAATTGCACAAGACGGGGTATTGGCTCAGGACGAGACTCAAATGATGGCGTTGTGGGGCTGGCGTGAAGGAATTCCTGAGTCCTTAGGACACTGGGGAGCCGTCTACAAGTATGATTTATCTATTCCTACATGTGATCTCTATGCTTTGGTAGATGATGTTCGGCATCGTATAAACTCCGCTGGGTTACTAGGCGATTCTGACGCGTATCCGGCTGTTTATATTTACATCTAATTTGAGTCTACGACTATTAAACATCCGGCTGTTAGTGTAGTTGGTTATGGACATATGGGTGATTCAAATCTACATTTGAATATTGCTGCTCGAAGTTTCGAGAAACAACTAGACAGAGTCTTGGAACTCTCTGTTTATGAGTGGGTTGGAAAGCGTAATGGCAGCATTAGTGCTGAGCATGGGTTGGGCCTGTCGGAAAAGAATATGTTTTGCATTAGATTTGAACTGCGTATGCAGCTATCTAGCTATGACACAATATCAAAGAAAATTACAGAGTAGATGGCTCAACATGAAGAAAAAGGACTCATGCCTCGGGTTGCATTTTCAAGTGCAACTGCGAAGTTCTGGCGGCTTTTTCTTCACCTCAAGTCAAACTCCATCTATGGGAGGGCGAAGGATGAACACCTGTCAGTGGCGACCTTAATGAACCTGGGAGTGATATTTTCTCCCAGAGCCGAGATTCAGTCACGAAAAAGGGTGGGATGAAATTTGTTTGATGGATTTTCGACTGGAAGGAGTTGCGCCCGATATTCTTGTCGAAAAATCAGTCGGCAGAGATTTCACAGCTGGAAAAAAGTCGAACAAAAAGTCATGACCACCAACATACGATTCACGAATAGGCCTAGGTCTGTCTAGGTGTCGTATTGATGCATCCAACATCCCTTAAACTCATTTTATAATTGCGACGAAGTATTTCTCAGTTGATTCTTCACCTGCGACCCACCCCCACACTCGGCACATTACCTATTTATACACGCCCTGATGAGGAAAGCCATGATGAAAACGGGACGTTTACAAAGGAGGAAAAAAAGGGGAGATACACCGAGGGATTACAAAAATGCCAAATGACGAGAACAACCCAACGGTATGATATGAAGGTGCAAGGCTAGAGTAACGATGAGATCTTGGACAGTATTTATATTTCTGGGTCAATGAGGATGTCAAGGGCTCGGGTGCGTGGTGGCCGAGGCTGAGGAGGAATTTGTGCTTCGTCGCGTCAAAAGAGGGTTCTCTGGACGGTTGAGCTTGTCATGATTCAACACTTGGGTGTAGTCTGAGGTTGTCCGGTCATTTAGGTGGGACGAGGCACTTGTACTTTACGGTAGTTAACCTGATCCGGCCCAACCCCACACTTGCTTAAGCTCCAGTAGGAGTGCAACGGTAGTCATGTAACCTAGTAAGTTAATGTATAAAAAAAACAAACTCTCCCATAACACTTTGCAATTAAAAACTAAAGGCTTTCTTTATTCAGGTTTGGACATCCCTAGACCTCAAGAACCTAGTTCAATAAGCTTTGGCGTCCTGTGACCCACTTGTCACGGTTCGAGTGTTGATGCTGGAGCAATCAGATATACGAAGGTAGTTTATAATTTTCTCTTTGGCGAACTATCAGAGTATTACTTCAACGTTTTATACATTTATAAAGATCTCTAGAATACTTGTTCTTGACTGATATCTGCCTCTCGTTTATTCCAGTCAAAGTAGTTGCCAGTCTTGCTTCCAATTACTAGAATATTCCAGTTACAGCTGAACTGATCTGGAATAAAACTAGACTGCTGTAGAATTATAGAAGCACGTGAATACAAACACGTGCCATACAACAATCGGCTCACAAGACGTTATACCACTTAGGACTTGTGTCAGACTGTACAGACATTAAATAAAGATAAATAAATGTGTCAGACTGTAGTAGAGCATAAAAACAAACTAAACCATCACCAAAAGATTTCAACACACACTCTCTAACATATCACAACACCCTATCGACAGCGAGAGTTTTCTTTTTGAATCTAGCCTTACATTTTTTTGTCAAATTAACTTTGGCTCTAGTTAAAATTCCTCACCACAAAAATCCATCCCTCTACCTTCACTATTCTAAAGCCTAGTCAGAATCTACCCAGCATTGCTAAGTCGCGTATAAAAGAAAACCGCGTCATTCAACCGGTGCATCTACCAATGTGGGAGTTGCCGGCTCAACGCCTCTCCACATACTCCTACCATCTTATTCAAGACTTCACTGACCCTGGTAGCGCTCTAAAATACGATGAGCCCCCAGACGATCTCACAGAAGAACCGTTTGACGCGCCCAACCAATCTAGCTTTTTTAGATTGGCACTGGGAAGAAGTGTCGCAGCTGCAGAAAATCGAGCGAATGAAGCTGAATCAATACTTGGTTGTATAGTCTCGCACTTGGACAATTATTGAGCCGCACCTAGTTGCACCTCTCTTCCTGCCACTTAACTTTTATCCCCCAAAAACTCCTGCCAAGATCTAGCACCAGTCGCTACCCGTCACTTTGATGCCTACATAGGCAGAAAATCGATATCTAAAGTTGAACCCACTCCTGAGCATCGCCGAATTCCGTGAGCACCGGAGAGTCTATAATGCGTCTACGTGGATCGCCGACTCCAAGGCAGCCATACCGAAAATACACACAACTGCAGAGATCCAGCACGTCCTAGTTCAAAAACTGAACCGCAAAGATACCGCACTTATGATCGTCTATTTGTCAGCATACCTGATCGAGATAAGCTCAGGGATCTCTCAGCGTATGCTATCGAGCCTCACCTGGAAGCTAAGCTAGGGAACGAAGGGCAAGTTTTCGTCAACGTGTAGTCCACAAAGACTGGCTTCGCCCTTTGCTCTAAAGATGGAAAACTCCCTAATCTTAAGGAAGAAATCTCAAAGTTAGTATATTTGATAATGTCCTGGTCAAGAGTGCTTCACCTTAGACTTTATACAGGATTAATAATGACACGAACATTCAGAACCGTCATTGACATACACAAATACTGCCTTCAACCAGTCACGGCCGCTGCTATGCACGAAGCACTTTCAGATGCCGCAGGGACAGCCCCGGTAGCCATCCTATCATCGCGTGATAATGAGAACCCAGTATCCTCAACATGGATTGCTCGCTTCCTGGAGTCGTAACAATGCCTTTCTCGTGTTCTCCTCCTGTTCGGCTGCCGTACGATCACAAAAACCCTCCCTCGACGCTATACCGCGGCTCAGTGCAATAGATGCTGGCTGTAGCATAATACCCAAACATGTGCTTCCACCCTTCGGTGTCCCTTATGTGGTTCCGCCACACATACTGAATATAATCATGGTAACCACCGCGCAGTCACAAGCGAGTATACTTACCTACCCAGATGTGTTCACTGCCATGGCCCTTATGCCGTAGACGATGCCAAGTGTGAGCTCATGCCTAAAGCTACGGGCTCACCTTTGACTAAAGCTCAGGTGAGTGCGGTCCGAAAAATCAACGCAGACGTCTGCTTACGTAAACAAGCAAAAGTAGGCTATGTGAAACCCCCTCACCAAGGCACCTCAACAGCGCGTAGTGATAAATCGACTTCATCTCAACGTCTCAAACCCTTTGAGCAAAGAACCGCACCAAATATCAAAGTGGTAAATTACATGATCTAATTCCATACCCTTAACTTCGAAGAAGATCAAAGCTACGACAATATGGAAATCTAATGGATAGATGTAAATCCCACAGTAATTTGCCTGGACTGTTAAGCTTGTCAACTGGCTGGAAGAGACAAAAATTTCACTGCTATTTTTTATAAATGCGCTTTTCACATTTATAGTGAATTGTCATCCACGTAGTTTAGCATGCAAAGCTAGGGAAATGGAAACAGGTAATTTTATTTGTATTCATTATCCTGATTTGGCGCCCCATGTGCCCATGCAGGTGGCTATAAATGTCAAGGAAACAAGGCGTTCAGGCAAAGCAGTCACATGATATATGGACATGTCTAAATGCACGCTAACGCGTCCGTATATAATTATTAGTTTCATAGTACTAGATTATTTCCTCTTTGTAGACAATCTAATTCACTAGATCAGACATTGTCGGTCACCATCCACCTCACTCCCCACTGTGACATATTGTCTACCAGGTCATAAACAACTATTACTGCCATAGTGCGTAATATCCATCTCCCGTTTTTAGAAATACTCCTCAGATTAGCTTATGAAAAAATTTATACCCAACTTGACCAATTTTAAATTTGAACTCAGAATCTTTCACGAAAATGGATCACAACTCTTGGAATCTTGAAGGAGGCGTCACATCACAATATCAGTCTGGAACACCTGCTTCCTCGAATAAGTTTCGAGATCATGATGCTACTTTCGTCCAAAATTATCCTCTGCTCTGTTCAGTCCCCAACAATCAGCTTTTTATTACCGCCATGCAAGGTGGTAATACAGAAATAAGTACTACAGGACTAAGCAATGAAATTATGGCCTTAGCCAATTCTTATGTAGTTGTCGAAAAACAATTATATCAATACAAAAATGATTACGGCACACTACTTGAGAAGAACCAGGAGCTGACAGACACAGTGCAGTATTAAAGTTCAAGGGGGTATCTGGAATGATAGAAGTGAACGTTGACCGTCAAGTCAATACTATACGAATCGTAAGATATTGGGGATTTAATGATCAGAGATAAAAGGTTAGGATCAGTGAAGTTTTGGTTTTACTGAACTTATATTTCGGTAATTAAAAGTGTTAGTGTTTAATCTACATCTAATTGTCTATCTATATTCTACCTCGCTTAGGTAGAAACGTTGTGTTCTGATTACGTGATGGAATAACATTCACACCACCGAGATCATCACCAACCGAGACCTCACCAAAGCTGGTAGCGATCGAAGATGAGTAGTCTTCGTCTACTCCGCACTGCGTGCAGTTCGGTCTAGCATGTCTAGATTTCAACATGCAGAACTTTCAAAATTCAAAGAATTCAATAACCAATTTCGGTACCCAATTAGAACAGCAAAATCATTTGCTACAACAAAAACTCCAACATATGAAACAGCAGGTTGCCGCAAGCTCTGAAGCACTCAAGGAAAACTCACTTCTTAAACAAAAATATCAGGAATTAGAAACAAGAATTGCTGCTACCGGCACAGGTGCCCTATTAAGCCATCCCCGATCAGCTGAATACCCGGATCCAGAATTTTTTTCGGCAGGTACACCTGAACTGCGCAAAGAACTCCAAATTTTTGTCCGTAAAATGAACATGAAGCTCCTTGCTAATGGAGATTGGTACCAATCCGAGCAATCAAAGATGATATATTTGGTGTCTCGGCTCAGAGGGAAAGCATTCTCGACGATTTCACATGGTGTCAATAGAGATGGCACGGTTAAGTTTCTCTACAGTGATGCTATTTTGGCTTTGCTAGAGCAAACATTCGGCGATGTCGACGAATGTAATAACGCTTGTTGCCAGATTCTTACTATTAAACAGGGCCAAAAAGACGCTTCCTCACACATCTCTGATTGGTTTGAAGTTGCTCAGAAGAGCGGTCTATCCGACGACGCACTAATAAATCATTTTTACGACTCCCTCCACCCGCTAATTGTATCGCAGATTCAGAACCGCGTCATGTTACGTCAAAACATGCCTACAGACCTCAATTCATACCTAGCTGAAGTTCGACATATAGATGCTGCGCTCCGATCTTCCAATCTAAATTATACTAAGAAGAAACCAGCACCCGCTAATCACTCGTCCTTTCTAGCGCCTACAAACTCTCTTCCTGTTCCCACTGGAGAAGACATGATGGATTTGAGCGCTGCTAAAACTAGTCCCACCATTATTTGGACAGCAGCAGATGCCATCAACCATCGCGTACCTCTGAATGAAGCTGAGAAAAACGCAAAGCGAATATACTGTTTTGAAAATAAACTTTTTAGCTGGTGCTACGACCCAGGTCATCGGGCCCAAGTGTGCGCTGAAGCTCGCTGGAATAAAAGCAAAAGAAAGTCCCCTGATAACAAGACTATCCTTGAGGAGGAAAAAACTTAGTCTCTGATCATTGTCGCAATCAGAGACATCAGAGTAGTCAGTCGGATAGATTATCAGATTCTGCTATGGTAGAGGAAGAAGGCGCTGTAATCATTGAAAGCGAAGAACTACAAATTTCATCCCTTTCAACCCCCCACACAGATCATCTTCTTCTCCCGTGCACCATAGGGTCTAATGAAATAAGTTTTTCCACCCAAGCGTTCCTTGATTGTGGTGCAACTGATGATTTCTACGATATCGACTTCGCGTAAAAACGTAATCTCCCCGTTCATTTACTCCATCAACCACGTCAACTTTACCTTATGGACGGCACACCAGCCGCACGTATTACTCATACTACATCTGTACACATTGATGTGAATGGCTATGGGGAGACACTGGTATTTTTTCTCACAAAACTCGGCAAATATGAACTCATTTTGGGTCGCATGTGGCTCAGACGACATAACCCTTCAGTAAATTGGTCTCAAGATACCGTCATTTTTCATTCAATCTTTTGTAAAAGAAATTGTTTTCATTGTGCTCTCAGACACACGCAGAAAACTTTCTTCTCGAACTTTAAAAGTAGTACTAGTAGCCCAGATGCTGACGCAGAAAAATTAGTAAGGGACGGCCAAGAAAGGTTGGTTCCGATGTGTTCTATAAGCCATCAAAGAAAAGTGACGTGCAAATATTTTCCCTTTCTCTAGACGAAGTGGATGCTAGAATCCATGAGCTGGGTGTCAATCTTAAAAATCTACCAACTAAACTAAGCTCCTCCCAATCCCCCACTGATCTGATAGATGCACAAAAATTACTGCGAGCACTACATCCTGTTAGTGGAGAAACCTCTGATAGACCAAAATTCGACCCCACAGCTGCGGACATGCAGTTAGCTGGATTTTCTCTTGAAAATATCCAAATCTCTCTCCAAACTAAAGATAGACCTAACCCGGCAGAAAAGCTCCCGCTACATTACCATCATCATTTAAACGTTTTTGACTACAAAGGTGCAGACATATTACCCCTTCACAGGGATTGTGATCATAAAATCGATCTTAAGCCTGATACAACGCCTCCACATGGCCCTCTGTACAATATGTTTATCGATGAACTCCAAGTCTTACGGAAGTACCTGAACGAACAATTGGAGAAGGGCTTCATTCGCACTAACAAGTCACCAGCGGCAGCTTCAGTCCTATTTGCCAAAAAACCTAGAGGAGGCTTAAGATTCTGCGTTGACTATCGAGGTTTGAATGAAATCACCATCAAAAACCGATATTCACATCCGCTGCTACAAGAAACTCTTACTAAACTTGGTAGTGCCAAGTACTATACCAAGCTTGACATCATTGCTGCGTTTAACCATATCC